TCTCTCTCTCTCTCTCTCTCTCTCTCTCTCTCTCTCGTTCTCCTGAGAAACAGAACCAATAGGGTGAGTATAATAAGAGATTTATTTTAAGGAATTGGCTCACGTGATTGTGGTGAGCCTAAGTTGCTAAGTCTAAACAAAAGCTGGGAATTTCTTCTCCAGGAAATCTCAGGCTTTGCTTAATTTAAGGCCTTCAACTGATTGGAGGAGGCCCGCTCACATTATGAAGGGCAATCTCCTCGGTTAAGGCTGATTAAGGTCAACAGATTAAGGCTGGGCGCACCTGTAATCCTAGCACTTTGAGAGGCCAAGGCGGGAAGATTACTTGAGGTAGGAGTTTGAGACTATCCTAGGCAACACAGCAAGACCCCATCTGTATAAAAATTAAAAAAACAAACAAAGAAACAATTAGCTGGGTGTGGCAGCAGCTAGGGTAATCCTAGCTGCTCAGGGGGCTGGCCCAGGAGGATCATGTGTTCCTGGTAGTTGGAAGTGCAGTGAGCTGTGACCAAGCCACTGCACTATGGGCTCTCTCTCTCTCTCTCACACACACACACACACCCCAATTGTAGATGTTAACCACAGCTACAAAATACCTTCGGGGACACACCTAGATTAAAATTGGATTAAATCACTGAGTACTCTAGCCTAGCCAAGTTGACACAGAAAACTAAAACTAACACTGACCATCACACCTGCCCTGCTGGCTGGTAGGAAGTGCATGGGGCTGAGGCCAGGAGACCCAGGTCTGAGACCTCTTTTCCATTACCAGCTTTGTGCCTTAGGCAGGTGCCTCAGCCACTGTGACTGCCATTCACTGTGTGACAAGCCTTTGTCAAATGCATGCCTCCTAACCAGCGGGGTCACGTGTGTTGAGGAAACAGAAATGAGGAAGACTTGGCCTCTGTCCTGAAGAAGCCCACCAAATGGTGAAGGTGACAGGCCCATGGCCAGCTGAGCACTCAGTCTGAGAAGGGAAGAACCACCCCCTTCCCACAAGGACCCACAGCAGTCCCCTCAGAGTGACATTAGCAGGATGTGGTGGTGGGCACCTGTAGTCACAGCTACTCGGGAGGCTGAGGCAAGAGGACTGCTTGAGCCCAGGAGTTTGAGGCCACAGTGAGCTCTGTTGATGCCACTGTCATCTAACCTGGGTGACAGAGTGTGATCTTGTCTCAAAAAAAGGTGAGATGACAAATGCAACTGCAGGTGGTTCTCAGGTCACTGACACTGTTGGTATTTTTAGAACATTCTACCTGCATCTTTCAAGATTTGCAGGTCACCTTTGCTGTCTGGCCTTCTCTCCATTGATGGGAAGCCATGCAATCTATCTTATTTCTTTAAAAAAATTCTGTGATTTTGGTGCTGACTTCAGGCATATTTTTGTTTTTGATTTCGTTTTTAAGGAAAGATAAACCATCACACAGAGCCCTTAAAAGGTGGGCTGTGTCATAACAGTAAACGCAGCAAGTGTGGGTCAGATGCCAGGAACCACATAGTGTAGGGTGGAGTCTGTTTATTCATCAGGTTTTGGAAGTTGTGACTTTGCTCCATTCTCTTCCTTGGGAGGGCAAAGTTCTAGTTGACGGCTACACACTCCTGTTTCTGTTTTTTGTTTTCTAGGGGCCGATGTCCACGCGAGGGATCCCCGCCGAGGGATGTCGTCCCAGGAGTGGGCCACTTACACGGGCAGGGTGGAGGCGGTCCGCCTCATGCAGAGGCTGCTGGAGCGACCTTGCCCGGAGCAGTTTGGGGAAAAGTACAAACCGGAGCTGCCGCTGCCCCTGGAGGCGTCAGTGAAGCCCGCAGGCTCCAAAAACTGCTTGCAGAGGCTCACGGAGTTCGTGCGCTCCGCGCTGACCTCCCGCTCCAGCCCGGGCCTCGAGGATGGCGGCGTCCTGGACCACATGGTCCGCATGACCACAAGCATCTACAGCCCCGCCGTGGCCATCGTCTGCCAGACTGTGTGCCCCGAGAGCCCTCCATGTGTGGGGAAAAGGCGACTGGCGGTGCAGGAAATCGTGGCGGCTCGCAGGGAGCAGGACACCCCAGCCCAGGAGAGGGACAGGCTGGAGGGCATCGAACAGGAGTTACGGACCTCGCAGGGCGCGGGGGTCTCCGGTGCGGGGGCCCCGGGAGTCACCCCCGCTCCTGTCCACCCTCCAGGGGGCCGGGGGGCCGGCTCGCGCAAGGCCAGCCTCCTGCCCCTGCAGCTGCTGAGGCGGAGCAGTGTGCGGCCGGGCGTCGTGGTCCCCCGGGTGCGCATCAGCAAGGCGCCAGCGCCCACCTTCCAGCCCGAGCGGCCGGCGCGGAAAGCCAGCACCAAGGACAGCGCCCACCTGCAGATCCCCAAGTGGCGGTACAAGGAGGCCAAGGAGGAGAAGAGGAAGGCGGAGGAGGCTGAGAAGAAGCGCCTGGCCGAGGCGCAGAAGGAAAAGAAGGAGAGGCGCGGGGCGCTCTGGAGGAAGAGGACGTGAGGGCCGGGCCTGGCGGGGCCAGAGGCTCGTGGGTGCAGAGCCTGGGGCAGCGCTGGGTGGGCCAGGGCGCCACCCGCTTGGGGCTCAGTGAGGAAGGGTCTGGGGCGCTGCCGCCTCCCTGGGCCCTGCTGCGCTGCAACACTCCCTGGACCCACCCAGGGTCACAGATCTCCAAGTTGTCTGTCCAGGCTGCTCGCATCAGGGGATTGGAGATGGCACAAACCAATTTGCCTAAAACCAGTTCCCCTAGCAATCAGTACACTCCATGGGCAATTTGCCTAAAAGTCTCCCTTTAAAGAACCTCAATTAAGAATATTTTTAGTCTGATTTATCAGAGGGTGTTTTCTGTATAATTTTGTATTTATAATCATTATTTATCAAATTTGCAGCACTTTATGAGTGATGAGGCTCTTTGTATTTAAAGCAGTTTTAACGTACTTGTCTGAAGATGCTTTGTTTAAAATTCTGTTTCTAGCAATAAATATTTGGGATATCTGTATGAGTTAACACACGTAGCGGGCTGTCCCTCTTCTATTCCTGCTTGTTGGTTCCTGTGCCCTGAATGTTCTTATTTATTGGGTTGAATGATGACCAGCACTTGCATTTGAAGGTGCAGTGAGGTGCACAGCACTTGTCTCAATGGTGGCTCTGAGACAGGCAGATCTGATTGCATCATCTCTTGTTTCGGAAACTCTCTTTTTCCATATGGTAATAGGATGAAAAAAACAATGTCAAATTACAAACAGTACAGGGGGAAACGTGTTTATTGCTAGAACTGAACTCATTTTAAGCAAAGTATTTTATGTAAACTGGATACATCTTTAACATATTAAAAAATAGAGATGAGGGGGGAAAACATCATTTAATAAAATGGGGGCATATTTAATTGCCAGAAATACAAAATTAAGTCCTATGTGCTCTTAGAGAAATTGAATTCAGATATCCTTAAAATGTAAACAAGATGCTAAAAGAGTAAGAACCCAGATGATGGTAACGACCCACGTGGGGCTGAGGGTGGTTTATAGAAGAGCCGGTGATCAGGCTTCATAGGAAGCAAATTTGTTTCAGGCAGATTCTCGTGGAGTGGACTGGGCAGCTGCCTCCTCCAGACCCAGCTCCCCATTCCAGAGAATTCTTTGTGTGGAAATAACTTTTATTTTCTTGTCATGACTGCCCCTGATAGTTAGCTGTTTTCATGCAGACTTAATAATGTTTCTGAGGTGTGATTTGCCTGGGGCCCCAAGCTCTCAGTGGGGCTTTCTGTCCATACGTTAATCTCCAGAGCACTGAGACATTCTGATTCTAATGAGTCTCTGGCCACACGGGTTGTACAGTAGCTGTCACACGTGCACTTTAAGTATTTAATTTAAGTATGTGGGAGCGATAGAGTTAGAATAGTACAGACCAGTCCCTCTCTCCAGATGGGGGCTGCCTGTGCCACCTGCCTGTGCGTAGCCCTGCCCTTTTGTCTCGTGAAGTGGGGTCCAGGCAGCTTCTGCAGCTCTGCTTATGAGCAGCTGGCCCAGCATTTCTCTTTTTTGCCACGTGGAAGCAGATTCGCTTGCAGAGGAAACTTCCAAGTCAAGGAGAGAGTTGCCCAGCTCCGCAGGCACGGCTTCCACTCTTGTTTTTTCATTGTCTTTGGAGGGGGGTGGGAGGAGGCAGAAAGGGAAGTCGGGGTATTCTCCACTGGGCAGCCTTTGGAGTTCTTCCCTGGGGCGGGGAGCCCTGACAACTGTCAGGCGGACAGTTGTCTACACAGCTGGCCCCTGCAACTCATGCTTGTCTGAAGTGACAGCCTGGGAAGGGAGTGAGGGGAAGGGGACACAGAGGAAATGGGTTTGTCTGGTTGCCTTCATTGAAAGCACATAAGCTGAGTTACCTTGAGTGGGTTTGTGGGTCAAGGGTCAGGGTGATCTGATGAGCTAGTCCGTACTTAAGAACATACACAGGCGGCACCCGTGGCTCAGTGAGTAGGGTGTCCCCCCATACCAAGGGTGGTGGGTTCAAACCTGGCCCCAGCCAAACTGCAACCAAAAATAGCCAGGCGTTGTGGCGGGCACCTGTAGTCGCAGCTACTCGGGAGGCTGAGGCAAGAGAATCGCCTAAGCCCAAGAGCTGGAGGCTGCTGTGAGCTGCAAAGTCACAGCACTCTACCAAGGACGATAAAGTGAGACTCTGTCTCTAAAAAAAAAAGAGACATACACTAAGTTCCTGTCTGGCTAAGGGACTCATCAGAGATGCTGTGGTCATCTGGACCCCGAGGAAGCGGGACACACCCTTTAGTCTTCTTGACCGGTTTGGAGGCTCCAGACTGGAGTGCTAGCTTCTTCTCATTCCTTCTCAATGGGTACCATCAGGCATCGAGCCATCAGGGACCTCACACTGGCCTCTGCAAAAATCAGGCATCTTTTGAGAACATTTGTCATTTTTGTGTATTTTTGCTGCTTTGGACAACTGCATTACTCACTGAGGCGTCACCTTCCTGACCCCCATGTCATGTGGGGAGCGGGGGGCCTGGTGGGCAGGGACCCTCTTTGTCCTTGCCTGTCGGGCCACGACAGCATCCTCTCCAGCTTTGTCACCACATGTGTCCCTGCCCCTTCCTTTGCCTCCTCCCCGTCTCACTCGCCTTTTCTTCCTGTGCTCTCTTCTCTCCGTTTGGCTGAGTTTCTTGGTCATCCGTGGCACCACCTCTCCCAAGGGCGAAACAGCAAGGGGCTCGTAGGAGGCAGTACAGAGTCCCTGCCAGGTCATCTCGTAGCCTCCAGCCCTCCCAGGGGGGATGGTCAGTAGAGCTTGCTGGCTTCTGTGCTAGGGGCTTAGAATTGTGCCCAGCTGTCCTCTTCCCCTTTTGTTGGGAAGGGAGACCTGGATTTCTCCTGACATGTGACATGACAGTCCCTGCCATGCAGAGGAGGAGGCTCCAGGTCTCCGCTCACACCCTTTGTGTTTATTAACTGTAAATAGTGAAGTTGACGTTGACAGGTACCTTCTCAGGGATTTATATATAAATATAGTTAGGGGAAAAGTTGAAGTGTGTTTAATGCTTTTTAGTCTTTGAGTTAATTATGCTTAAACTGGACAGAAGTAATGTAGCTAAGAATGTTGATGCTGCTGATGACGTGTGAGACCCCTGGACACCCCGTTAGTTGAGATTTCCTTGGTTATTGGAGATTAGCGACTCTGGCAGCTGGAGTGGCTTTGGAGTGGATGGGAAGTCACTTCAATGCCTCTGATTTCCTCCTGTGTGTGTGACCCTGGTATTAACAACAACAAGGAAATCCACCTCAGGTAAGTGGAGGTGGCTGTTGGAGGACACAGATAGGTTGGCTGTCACTTGTCCCTCCAGAGCTGTCACCCCCCCCATCCGACATGAAGCATGTAAGAAGGACAGATTTTTCAACTTTCTTCTGTGAACAAAGTGCCCCATAGTCAGCCCTGACTAAACTCATCAGGAAGGAGGAGGGAGCAGCGGGAACGGCTGGTCTGGAATTCCCTGGGGTGCAAGGCCGTCCCTCTGCTGCCCTGGAGTAGGGCGGCACTTAACCTCTCGGACCTCTCATCTCATCTCACGCTGCTCCCGATGGGCTGTGCCCTCACCAGATGGCTCAGGAGTATGAAGATAGAACTGTGGCGCCTTCACCATCTCAGCTGTGACCTCCTGGGCAAGAGGACAGAGGGGTTCAAGATGGGATTTGTGGACATAGGAGGGCCAAGTCAGGTGGCCTCTGCCACTTCCCTCCCCACGGTCAGGGTGACTGGGTCTCTGCAGTAGAGACGAGGTGGCCTTGGCTGAAGTGGAAGCCCATGGGGAGGCACGCCCTAGTCCACTGTCCACAGGTTGTCAGGAAGAATCCTGGGGACCAAGTTATTACGAAGGAACAATTCCCAGAGTAAGTGAGTGAACCCAAACCAGGACTGTCCCCAGAGGCCTGCTGGCAGGAGCACCACACTTCCTCCTGTGCACACGACATAGAATGATGAGACCTTCTGTTTGTAGTTTGCCTTGGCACCTAAGTTTGCTCCTGCCACGCTCGTGCTGTCCTCTCCCCAGGCACGGACCCCAGAGCTTTGCACCTGCTCTTTTTCCGACACTCAGTGGCCATTCCCAAGGTGGTCAGAGTTAACATGGGCTTTTCAGTGATAAAGTCCTAGCATGTTTTTCTCTTTTACAATATTTGGGGAAATTCTAACACACTCCCCAAGCATTGGGTCAGGACCCTGGCCCTCCCATTGTGGGTAACTGTTTTTGAAATTGTACCCGGTGTGGGTGTGCCCCCCACCAGGATCCCCCAGGGCCCTGCCCCTGACTGTCCTTGGTTTCCACCCCAGCCAGGCAACCGTCATGGGCTTCTGGGGAAGGATAGGCAGTCACATTGACGACAACCACTGCAGCTGGTAAAACCCCACCACAGTGGGGCGCTGTTCCCCACCAAGAGCTTCCGCGGAAACAATTCTTTTCCCCAATGCCGATGAGTCTTCTCCACTTTGCCCTCTAGGTGAGCTCGGAACTTGGTTTATGCATCTGTAGGATAACTCTCAAGTCAGCTACTCACTTCTGTGCCCTAGAATTCACATGTTTTTTCATTAACATTTAAAGTAAGTCACTAAAAAATTCCTCTGGAGATTGTGTTTGAAAGAAACAGAAAAAAGAAAAACACACTACCTGGATTGAGTTGACTTAAGGTTCCAGCGGCTCAGCTGAATGCTGGGCTGCAGGCACACTGTCCTCCCTGACCCAGCCTGAAGTAAGACGTGGCAAAAGGCCCAGCCCTGCTGTGCTCTGACCGCCCTTGGCAGCAGGCAGTGCCGGGGGGACAGCGTGTACTACGGTGTGTGTGCAGGTGTCTGGGCACATACAGATACGTACACAAGTGTGCTGAAAGGAGACTGGGCTGTGTGCTCACAGAGGTGATGCTGTGGCTTCTCTGTGGCCCCCAGGGAATGTCTGATGTGACCTGTCTTGATGGCCTGTGTTCAGTGGGATCTTGCCCTGA